CATCAGGGGGTCCTTTTGGCGATTTGTCCCTCTGTGGGGGGATACTCCCACTAGGTTTATATCTGGGACTCTCCACCATTTGACCTTAGAACTGAAGAAGCTTCTCGGATGAGAGGTGAAACGTCTTCAAGTAACTTAAAGAAGCCCAGACGCTTTTCTTTGCGAGCTCCTTTGACAATGAATTGTGAGGTTTACATGGCTGTACTCTCTGCTCAAATTCAGGATTCGCAAATGGATAATGACCCAGAGCACAGTGCAAAAGCTGCACAGGAGTTTGTCAAGAAATTGGATACACTTCAGTGGACACGTTAATCACCTGATCTCAACACAATGGAGCATGCTTTTCAGCTATTATATACAAAACAGAAGATGGAGACAAGCAAACAGCAATTGAAGGCAGCTGCAGTAAAGGCCTGGCAGAGCATCCCTTGGGAGGAAACACAACATCTGGTGATTTGATGACTGCAAAATATTTTCATCTAAGTATTAAAAACAAAGTCTTATATTTAAAATGATAGTAGTTCCTCCAATTAGTTTTGAGCCTCTGTAATGTTTTGGTAAGTCTACACTTCAATCACATCTTCAGTGTTTCATTTAAAATCCACAGTGCTGATGTACACACTCACAAGTGTAAACATTAGGTCACTGTACCAGAGTTTATATTACCCCTATGTAGCAAGTAAGTCTGCCATGTGTCAAGAATGTGTTAAACAACTCGTTTCAGTGACTTTAACTTTAAACCCAAGTGACCTGTTGCCTGCAAAAGTTTAATGGATGAAAAACAGGGGACATTGATTGAGCCCAAGGAAGCCAGTAGACACATGAATATGCCTGTAAATTTTATTGCTAAGTAATAATTTCAAATAAATTAACACTATTTTTCAGACAGCAATGTGGTAATACAACCACACTTTTAACCACACTTTTAACCAGCAGCTTACAGGGAGTGCAGAATTATTAGGCAAATGAGTATTTTGTCCACATCATCCTCTTCATGCATGTTGTCTTACTCCAAGCTGTATAGGCTCGAAAGCCTACTACCAATTAAGCATATTAGGTGATGTGCATCTCTGTAATGAGAAGGGGTGTGGTCTAATGACATCAACACCCTATATCAGGTGTGCATAATTATTAGGCAACGTCCTTTCCTTTGGCAAAATGGGTCAAAAGAAGGACTTGACAGGCTCAGAAAAGTCAAAAATAGTGAGATATCTTGCAGAGGGATGCAGCAGTCTCAAAATTGCAAAGCTTCTGAAGCGTGATCATCGAACAATCAAGCGTTTCATTCAAAATAGTCAACAGGGTCGCAAGAAGCGTGTGGAAAAACCAAGGCGCAAAATAACTGCCCATGAACTGAGAAAAGTCAAGCGTGCAGCTGCCAAGATGCCACTTGCCACCAGTTTGGCCATATTTCAGAGCTGCAACATCACTGGAGTGCCCAAAAGCACAAGGTGTGCAATACTCAGAGACATGGCCAAGGTAAGAAAGGCTGAAAGACGACCACCACTGAACAAGACACACAAGCTGAAACGTCAAGACTGGGCCAAGAAATATCTCAAGACTGGTTTTTCTAAGGTTTTATGGACTGATGAAATGAGAGTGAGTCTTGATGGGCCAGATGGATGGGCCCGTGGCTGGATTGGTAAAGGGCAGAGAGCTCCAGTCCGACTCAGACGCCAGCAAGGTGGAGGTGGAGTACTGGTTTGGGCTGGTATCATCAAAGATGAGCTTGTGGGGCCTTTTCGGGTTGAGGATGGAGTCAAGCTCAACTCCCAGTCCTACTGCCAGTTTCTGGAAGACACCTTCTTCAAGCAGTGGTACAGGAAGAAGTCTGCATCCTTCAAGAAAAACATGATTTTCATGCAGGACAATGCTCCATCACACGCGTCCAAGTACTCCACAGCGTGGCTGGCAAGAAAGGGTATAAAAGAAGAAAAACTAATGACATGGCCTCCTTGTTCACCTGATCTGAACCCCATTGAGAACCTGTGGTCCATCATCAAATGTGAGATTTACAAGGAGGGAAAACAGTACACCTCTCTGAACAGTGTCTGGGAGGCTGTGGTTGCTGCTGCACGCAATGTTGATGGTGAACAGATCAAAACACTGACAGAATCCATGGATGGCAGGCTTTTGAGTGTCCTTGCAAAGAAAGGTGGCTATATTGGTCGCTGATTTGTTTTTGTTTTGTTTTTGAATGTCAGAAATGTATATTTGTGAATGTGGAGATGTTATATTGGTTTCACTGGTAAAAATAAATAATTGAAATGGGTATATATTTGTTTTTTGTTAAGTTGCCTAATAATTATGCACAGTAATAGTCACCTGCACACACAGATATCCCCCTAAAATAGCTAAAACTAAAAACTACTTCCAAAAACATTCAGCTTTGATATTAATGAGTTTTTTGGGTTCATTGAGAACATGGTTGTTGTTCAATAATAAAATTATTCCTCAAAAATACAACTTGCCTAATAATTCTGCACTCCCTGTAATGCAGAGTCAGTTTGCTTTCAGTCTTCAATTGAATGGAGTCAAGTTGGAAATTATAGAATTATATGTTGGATGTTTTTTTGGTTGAACGGATTTATTGTAAGTTTGTTCGGCTAATTTTGTCTCGGGATGGTGGTGAAGGACACGAGCCCTCTTGTTGGTAGGGTAGTATTCCCAGAACATTTTAATATATTCATTATTTATTGATTTTCATTCGAAATGTCAATATTTGGTGTCCCTATATCAATACATACACGTGATTCTGTGCCGTATAGATTTTTTTCCCCCACCCCAAAATGGCAGACCACAAATCTACGGATGACATACTTTTAGCTACATCCATCGTTTATTTACAAAAGCCATGACAATAACAACAATATATCATCATGGTGTATTTTGGAAATGTGTTCTTCTTGAAGTAAACCACCCCTGTAACAGTTCATCAAGTGTTTTTTTCTGCAACAATAGCAAAACAATGGGTTTTGTGTGTATTTTAGTCTAAGAAGAAATTTTTACAGATTCATAGAGATTTTAAAGGTGAATGGCAGACATAGTTTCATCTGCGCAACATTGTTAAACAACATTAAGATAAATTCACAAGTACGACTGGCATGTTTCAAAGACAATATGCCCCACGGTACAAGACAGATGCTAAAAGAATGGTCATGATGCATTGAAAATGCAAGCACAATCCCCAACAGCCGCCACTGCCTCTAACAGCTCATCACATCAGGTGTGAATATTTCTCTCGGCCCAATATAAAAAACCCACCCACATTTCTATCTTTGTGATCTTTGCTGTAACAATTTCCTGCGGTAACACTGAAATTTCCATATGAACTCTTAATATTAAAAAAACAGACACCACTTACAGTCGAGACATAATTGAAATTCTGCCCACAAAAGGATTGCATTTTCTGCTTTAGACCAAACACCCAAACCCCACAGTGCACAACTACTTCACAAGAATCACTGTGCAGTACTCACATCAAATGGATTTTTTCATGATGTACTGAAAGAAGACAGTGAGAAAAAAAAACTTGGGTTCATGCTGTACAGAAATGTGCAAAAGGTTCTTTTTCTTGCTATGCCATGTGAGTGGGGTCTGTGAGGGGCTGTCCCACTGTCCTACTTCCATTTTTAAGAATGCCCTCGGAAGTGACATGACTCAAGTTAACTGCTGCAATTTTGGTGCAGCCAGTGTCAGAGTCTTCGGTCTGAGGCTCTAAGAAAACCACCTTCTTCCCATTTGACCGCTGCTGTGTTGTCTCCACATCTCTGGGGTCTGAACACAGGATGATGGCTCGTCCGCCGCAGCCTCTCGAGTCCCCGCCGCGGCCATCCCGACACCGACAGGGGGTGAGGTAGAGGTAGAGGAGCACCAATATGATGCTGACCACGCAAGAAGCCAGTGTGGTAAATGCAGTGTTGAAATTTTCTGCACTATTGCGATGCGCTGAACCGCTGGCGAAGGTAATGCTTAAATTTCCAACTACCACTGTGACCTCCAGAGAGTGACTGGGGTTGTAGTTATGTCCGCGGGGTATGACACACCCATATGTTCCAGAATCTTCCGTCAGCGCTTCTCGAACTTCAAGGGTGCCATTGGGAAGAACTGCGAGGCGGGCACTTAGATCACTGTTTGAGGAATTCAGTACCGTTGTAGGGGTGACCCAAAACACCACAAGCCCCTCCTGAGCAGGCAAAGTCAACCCTGGGCATGGCACTCTTAACCACTGACCAGGCTCTACTTGGTAGATCTGTGTCTCAAGGGGCATATCTGACATTTCATGCTCCTTACAATGAACTCCTGACTCTGCTCCTTTTTTACATGGGTAGTCACCTCTGAAATCCAGTAGAGGGGGATACTGTTTCCACATCCAATACTCCAGCAAGGCAAGCAACGCACAGTCACAGACTAAAGGGTTTTCCTGCAAATAAATTCCTCTTTGGCGAGTGAGGGACAGGAGGCTTTGGACAGGCACCTTAGTCAGTCTGTTATATGACAAGTCTAGAAATGTCAGATTTAGAGGTCCCTCGGGTTCTTCATAAATGACTAGGGGGAAGACTGACAGCCTGTTTGTAGAGAGGTAGAGCCTCTGTAGGTTGTAGAGGTCCTTGAAGGCGCCTGGATCGATTTGAATAATCTGGTTGTCAAACAGCAGCAACTCCTTCAGTTCTTTCAACCCACTGAAGATGGATGAGTTCAGCACTGTCAGCTGATTGGACGAGAGGTCCAAGTGGAGGAGATGTGGTGTCACATTGAAGGTGTTCACGTCAATGCTTCTTATGAAATTTTTGCCGAGAATCAGCGTAACGAGGCGTTGCAGCGGTTGGGAAATCCAGCCCACATGCAGGGCAGTGAGTCTGTTGTGGCTAAGGTCCAACCGTGTGGCATAACCTGGTAGATCAAAGGGCACCACAGACAGATTGCATCCGCTGCAGGAAATTATATCACTGGCACAAAGGCAGGAAGGTGGGCAAGCGGCCATAGAGGGAGGGAAGCCAAGACACAGCAGGAACAGCACTCCTGCAGCAGAGGGATTGCAGCAACCCCTGACATTGGTCCTGCCTAAAAGTTCCAAGGTAATGGAATGCATCCTGGTTTTTACTCAGGATGGACCTCAGGTTACCGTCTCATTAGGTGTACACATGTCAGGTTTATAATCCTCAGTCTACAGCTTGAAGAGACAAAACAAGAAAAGTGAAAGAGAAAGACAATGGAAATTAATGCATTATACTACCTGAGAATAAAAATACACATAGTAGATGACGATATCAGAATAAAAGTGTTTTCTATTTAAAGTTTTTTTTAAAGGCACTGAGATGACAAGAGGAACACACAGTAAGACTGTTTAAGGAAATGGATAAAATAGGTAAAGGCATGACATGCATGCAACTCTAAAAATAATTTATAATCCACAACACAACAATGATTGCTGCTGGCATCACCCATACATGACAACTGGTAGTAAAGACTGGAACAAGTGTAACCTGATATGTGCACAGCAGTAACACTCCTCCCCTATTCCCCACCAATACAAACACAGTCTGCTTACTTCACTGCTCACAAGACCACATCTTTTGTAATAATGCATCTGTTTACAGGTTAGTATCACATTGTACACATAAAGAAAACAGATTAGCATATGTTTTTTTCCAATTGCTACTTTCTACTTGCCCCCTCAATTTTAACAAATGCATCAGTAAATCTATGTAGACCTTTTCATCCATTCAGAAAACAAGGTACCAGATAATATAAACACCAAGAATAAGTCAGAACTATTATTAATTATTATGTTAATCAAGAGTCATTGAATAATTCGGATACACAACTCTTCAAATCACCATAAGCAGCTGTTTTCCCTGATAAATTTCTCTCATAATGGTAATTTAAAGAAATGAGCAGTAAAGCAAGAGCGGATTAATACCAGAGAGGCACGGGAGGGAAAAAAATAAATGAAGTCAATTCAGAAAGGAGACAGCCAAGCAATCGCTAAACAACTGACAGAAATTAATGTAATAATCAACAAACATTTAAATAATTTCTTACGCTGCAGTGCCAATCATTCTGTGTTTACAGGCTCTTGTGCCACCTTTTGCAAACCTAATTTCAATTTGAAAACCCAGACATGTTTTAACTCAGAAATAAACAAGTGAAAAAAATAATCCCGTTCACTTGTATTTTTGTATTTATTATTTGTTACAGAAATGTATTCTAAATAAGATTTTCTTTTACTTAAACAAAAACCTGATTTTTAGTTACAAATCTTAAAGAATTACTGCAAAAACTACATTAAATGCACAGAAAACTTGAAAAAGATAGTTTAAAAATATAGAAACGTGACCGTGGGTCTACATTATTGCCATACTTATTCATCTACAATGCTCGCCTGAGTTAATCAGTTATTTGTCCTTCCTGCTCTTTCCCCCACACACGGCTCAGCAGAACAATACCAACCGGCTTTTTTGCGACTTTGAAGGAACCAAAACGCAGACGCACAGCATAAACCCAGCTCACCTTTACATCCACATCGCTGCCCGTTCAAATCATCGTGCCGTTATCCAGACCCGCTCTTTTGGGGGCGACCGGGTCCTGTTTCACGAGTCTTTCAAAAGCAACTTGGGGCTTTTCGCAGCAAAGTGCATCGTTTTCAACCCTCTGAGCAATCCACGGAGAGGTGCCGGAGCAGAATTGTTCACCTGAAGCTCGGGTTACATGTGACCGTGGGAGGGGTCGTCCTGCGAGTAAACACGAAACACAAAACAGCAGCCAATACAGCGACTATGCGAGAGTGGATGATGCCAAGAGGAGGAGACAGGGCACCCTGCAAGGAGAAGGAGAGGGAGAAGGTGCGGCAGAGGCAGAGAGGACAGCATCAGCACCACACACTCTGCAAATCCACTGTTTTATAGCCTAATTTATCAGAAGGTGAGTGCAGCTCAATAAAAGTCAATCATAACAATAACAATAATAATAAAAGTAGACTAGTATTTTAGATTTTATTGTTTCAGTTAAAAGGCGATCAGACGATCATCAAAGTATTTCCAGGATTTTCCATTAATACTTCCCGTTATTTCCCGTTTTCCCGTTTATCCATTTGCAATAATATTTTAAACATGGCTCAAATTACATGTGTATTGTGAAAAGTGACAAAATGTAGCTCAATATTTGGGTTTTACAGAATTTGGAAAGTAGTATTAGAAATGTAATAGGTAAGTTTTAAAGCCCTCTTCAGGACTATTTAGGGTTGGATCAGGTGACCCTGAACCCTCCCAGAGGTAGCTTCAATAGGCCCAGGCTGCTAGGGGCTTCCTTTAACGGACTGATCACTTCTTTTTCACTCACCTCTTTATGTGTTTATACATTATTTTGCATTTAATCATTAGTTGTAATTAATCTCTGCCTTTCTTTCACAGCATGTCTTTTGTCCTGTTTTCTTCCCGTGAGCAGATGGCTCCATGAGTTTGGTTCTGCTGGAGGTTTCTTCTTGATAAAAGGGAGTTTTTCCTTTCTACTGTTGCCAACTACTTGCTCATAGGGGGTCATATGATTGTTGGGGTTTGTCTGTATTATTGTAGGAGCTTTATCTTACAATACAATACATTACCTTGAGATGACTGTTGTTGTGATTTGTCACCATGTAAATACAACTCCGAATAGCTCCCTGTTGGTTAACCTCATAAGTTTTTCCATTCCCAAATGATATGTTGAACCCATCACATGTCAATTGTTTCTGTGAGCTGTTAAATGCAAGCAAGTGCCAAAACCTAAGAGAAATAATAATAGAAAAGCTGTGGACCTTCTGTACACCACCTGCCCAGCATTTAACAGCTGATACCCAGGTTAACAATGTAGGAGACATGGCACTCAAAGAATTCTGAGGGCTATGGGAGATTCCTGTAATAGCAGATACACTGTCACTGCAGTACAGGTCAAAATGGTACAGATTTGTACTTTATTTCAAATTGAACCTTTAAAGGGGCATTTCTGGACTTTTAAAGACCAGTATTGTACTTTTAAGGGAACATTTTAAAAAAAATGTACATAGGTACAAAAATGTTCTTCTCTCGTACCTCTATTTCTGAGAGTGTATGGTGTCACCCTGCCCCTACTCCCAAAAAGTCATGTTGTTGGGCACATGTGCACAGAAGAGGTTCACAGGACTTTTCAGTGAGTTTTAACTGACTGGTGATAATCTATTTGTTATCACAGAAAATATGTCAATTTTAAAATAAATTGTTTACCTTCTTCTGGGCTAAACTAAATCTGTTTACATAATTTTTAATTCAGCTGCATGTCCTAATGATCACTAAAATTAATATGAGTTGTTCTTCCCCATTCCCCCATAAAACAAATAAAAAATAAAAGAACCCAAAAGAACCTACTTCAAGAAAGACTTATGGAAATTGTAGTTAAAGCAATGCTGATTCGATATGGGAAACAATCTCCTTTATCTGCACTTGCCCAGTGTTTTGTCAACTCGTCCATCCACCCTGACCTCCTCTCTTTAAAAACTTTGTGGCTCCCATTTTTTATCACAGCCAGTAGAAGGTAAAACTGGATAAGACATCCCTGTTGTGCTTTCAGCTTTGGCTGCTGCACATAAACAGTGATATTTGGTGATTTTTGTGAAATCAGTTGTTATAAAACTAGGGGTGGCACAGTTGCCTCACAGCAAGAATGCCTGGTTTCTAATCTTTTCTTGTTGCGTATGCTCTTTTGAGTTTGTCTTTTTACTGTCACAGGGTGTAAACGGACTCATGTGCAGACCAGAGATCCTTGCAAGGAAGACAGTGAATTTATTTACAAAAAGAAAATACCAGGTGATAATATGTACATGTGCAAGTGGGGGGAAGGGAGGACGTCCAGGGTTCCAGGGTCCGTGAGGGAAAAAAAGGGGGATCGAACAGACTCCAAACGTTTCCAAATTTCTCTCCTCTCTCCACCACAAGGTCGTACACACCACACACTGGCTCGCAGGCGGGTCCAGGAAAGATCTGTACACAGAAACTCCAGTTAGAAACAGACTGACAGAAAGAAACTCACAGATTCTAATTTTCTGACTGCAGGGGGACTGACACTGATAGCTCAACGATCCAACGACAAGTAGCACCGTGCTGCCATCTTAAGTAGGGCTCGGGATTACGAAGATAGGCAGCAGGTGTGGAGATGGCAGGTGCGTGGGCCAGGGGCGGGAGCCCATAATGAGAAGCGCCCCGGCAGGAGAGAGAGAGAGAGAGAGAGAAAGAGCAAAAACAACAAAAATACATGTTGCCTAATACGGGATCAGCTGATGAGGCACAGGGACCATGACATTTATATAAACCATCCTGCAACTGAAGTTGGATAGTAAGTGGTAACTTACTATCCAAGAGAGAGAAGCCGATCAGCTGATCATTGATCAGTTTCATGATTGAAGTAGAAACGGGAGAGAGAGGGGGAGAGGATGAGAGAAGAAGAGGCAGCTGCAGAGTAAAGAAACGGAATAACTCCAGCTTTGTCTGTTTTTCATTCTAGCTGAAGTTCGGGACAAACTGCGTTCCTTTTCACCTCAATACCAAACGCGTGATATTTTCTCTGAATACTGAACGATTCCGTTTTATACGGGATGGTTGGCAACTCTAATAATTAACCTTATGAACAAAATAAAGTTCACTAACATCATAGCACCCACCCAGCTGTATAGGAACCCCGTCATGCTAGCTAGTACGCAGTACGAAAAAGTCAGCACAACGAAAATAAACTCCACCTAAACTTGGTTTATATCTGACCCAGATAGACTGCAGGTCATAACTTCTTACCTGAAGTTCAGTTCACCTGACACT